GATGAACACAGAGCCCTTGTAACATCACCTCCAAAACCACTGCTCAATTGAAAGTGTTTTCACTTCAGTGAATGGTGTAAAACTTAAAATAAGTAAATTAACACAATTAAATTAGTTAACTGCAAATTAGACTAAGCTTCAAAGGAAATGAAGTAATGACACTTTTTACATTTCAGACCTTGCACAGCTGAAGTTGTGTCCTTGAAGAGCTACAGATATTTCCTGGCCCCTTATACTGTTGAAATCCCTGATATTTTCAATACTAGGTACAGAAAAGTGCTCAAAATTCTACAAAACCATTTTTCAAAGCATGACTAATAAAAGTAAACCAGAAAGTTTATAGAGTAAGTAATTTTGAAGATGCTGAAAATTATTTATAAAAGGTGTTCTTATCACAAGAAATACCCTTTAAAACACCTGGAAAATATCAGAGTGGAAAATCACCCGAGCGAATAATCATAAATTTCAAATGAAAAACTGAGTGAGGGAAGGATGATTCAGAGCTTGTTTTCACTGCTCAATCTTAAGTAATGGTCTAAGTACTAAAAAACAGGAAACATCTTTGCTAAGGTGCTGAATGTCTTTTTCTCTTCCTGAAGCATATACTGGTTGAAGATGTTCAGAACGTCATGTAACTGGGTGCTCTAAAACTGGACCCTGTATAATCAGCCGTCCACTAGAAAAGTACAGGAATTGCAATGATTCCCAGTTTACTACTCTAATTGCAAAAAAGAAACCAAATCTTATTTTAGACAATACTGATATTCACAGGACATAGCATGTATTTACTGGTAATGTCACTGCTTTTAGAAAATAATCCATATAGCATGTATAATTGGGAATGTGATCCTAAATCTGTGAATGCATGATCCCTATCAGTTCACAAAATCCAGACTCCTTTTCCCAACTACACTCTCCTTCTCAGGAAATAAAAATAAAAAAAAAAAAACAAAAAAAAACAAACAAAAAAAAAAAAAAAAAAAAAAAAAAAAAAAAAAAAAAAAAAAAAAAAAAAAAAAAAAAAAAAACCAATCCAGACATTGCACTAAACTAGGCTCAAAGCTGGTTAGATGGAAAACACAGTCTGAGAATGACAGTAAAGGAGTTTAAATGTTCTGTCTGAGAGCATCAGCTCTGCTTCCTAAGGCTTACTGCGGGGCTGGGGAGCCACCCTTTGGTCACTGCTCTAAGTGCAAAATCAATATAACCGCACACTGACAGCTTCTGCCCTCTGAGGAGGGCTCTTGATGAACACCTATAAATTTGCTGGTCTTGCCAACAGCTGTTCCAAGGATATCTCTGGTTTAACACCATTCAAAGAGTGTATCTTATGTCATAGGGATGGCAGGGAGGAGTAACTTCTGCACATGGAGGGCTTTGAGAATGTTATGTGCTAAACGTTGTTGTTACACTCCATGCCTTCCATTCTCCACCCTGTCATGGACACAGAGTAATTCCTACAAACTGAGTGCCTGCAGCATCATTTCTCACTAAAATGAGGATGAAAGGAAACTGAACATTTGTAGCTTTGCAGATTTCCCTTCCCAGAGCCCCAAATTGACTAAATAAAAAGGTTACACCTGAATTACAAACTACTTTGTGACAGACACACATGAGTGTGAAAAGAAGAGGAGAAGAGAGAAAAAACAAACTGCAAGCATATGATTTCAGAAAAATAGGCTGGACATTGATGTAGAAAGGCAAAATCCACAAAGAATGTAAAACACAGATATTAACCTCAAGAGAGGTCAGCTGAGAGGGCAGAAAGGGAAACCCATGGAAAGCAGCCAGAGAGATTAAATTTAAGCCCCACACAACTCTTATTTCACATTGAAAACCACAAACCATTCCCAGAAAGGAAGAAACTTTTATGCTCCCTCTAAGCCTTGATGTGAGCAACCTTCTCAAATGCTTCTGCATTTTATGAGGATGGACTGAGTTCCCAATTTTCCATTTACTCCTCCCTCAGGCCTTTGGGGGCTGTTGTTCTTTCTTTCAACTTGGGATCATCCTCAACCATAGTCAGCTTTTGCTGGTCAGCATCAAGGGGAACCGGTCCATGAGGCAGAGAAGATAAATAGTGGAGATATAAAGCACTGGATAACCCAGACACAGCAGAAAAGCAACGGTCTGGAGTTTGGATACAGACTTGGGAACACCAAGACCAGGAAACTTANAAAAAAAAAAAAAAAAGAAAAGAAAGAAGGAAGGAAAGAAATAGGCTGGAAATAGCCATTAGTTCAAATTACACCTAATTTGCAAAGGTGGAAGTAATTAGCACTTGCTGAGGTAATTAGCACTTGCTGAAGCAGTCTGAATAAACAAGGAAGCAGTTACAGCACTGAAGACAAATGTACTTCACATGCTCAGGAACTCTTTCAAACACTACATACCAGATGACCCTTGTGTTCCCACAAGATGAACATTCCTACTAACATGTCACTTTTGGAGATGAGCTGCCAGGAGCTGGAAGGATCTCTCAAAGCCCACATAGAAGTTAGGAGCAACATGAGGACAACAGAGGAATTTCCAGTTATCAGACTGCAAGGACTCTTTGGCTACTTCTAAAATCAAGGGCCTTTTCCTCCCACCACTAGAGAAAGGAGAGCACACCGGATCACTGAACATTTCCATTGGCTAAAAAACAGTGTTTTAATTATTCTGTTAGTGGCTCTCAGACACTTTTCCTTGCCCCAAAATAGAAAAAGAGAATATGAAGTATAAAACTGAGAGAAAGAAAATAAACAGCATATGGGACAGTCATTACAGTGTTCGGTTTCTTTCTTGAGGTATTGGGGCCACTGCATACTTTTCTGTAAAGGATATTGTTTTAAAAAAACATTCTTTTTTATTTCAGCCTGTAGTAATGCAGTATTTAGATTATTATGCTAATTAATGCTACCACTAAATTAAACACCAGTTTTGATTTGTGACTGCAGTACTGTTAGATGTCAGTGTAGGAGGCACTAAAGACTAAAGGGTCTTACTGTATTTATGCTCAGACACATCTTTGTCTTCTGCATTTGAGCAGCTTTTCAAGGTGGTCACTCGATTGCTGGAAGTTGAAACCAAGATAAACCCAGTGTGGAAAGGCCTCTTCTGAAAAAGAGTAATCACATCAAGAAGATGATGTCATAGTTTTTGGAATTACGACTGCACTAAGAAATGAACAGGTTTGAAAGGACTTGATACACCCCACTGCAAACCCAGGAGAGACAGGGTTTCTTGGTTAATTTGCTAGGAAAGAGAATGTTGCGACTTGGATGTGACTCCTTCCACTAATATTGATCACTGTATGTTGACTGTAGAGTACTGAATCTGGAACTGAAAAGAAATTTAGGAAAGCAAGTAGCTTAATGTGACCGAGATAATTTACCACCAGGCAATGGCACCCTGCTTATATTTATTCTGAAACACTTCTGGAAGAAGCATCTTATGAAGGTCACTTTATTGCTTCATTGCAGAAGAGCAATTGTGTGGTCTGATACTGCTGTCAAAACACAGCAGTTGCACAGTGTCATCAAAGGAAATAAAAACACATCAACACAGATTTAGTTAATTGAAGTCCTACAGAGCTGAGTGGCAGGCACCAGCACCAGTTTGGGCTGAAGCATGACATTCTCTACCAGGCTGCAAAAGTTCCACCCAAAAAGGTAAATCTCAGACATCCAAAATACCTTGTGTTGTGGTTGCTTTCATCCTGGAAGTGTTCAAACACAAATGCCCTCATTCTGGAAAAGTTTCCTGGGACTTTCTGTTTGGGTTGCTACAGGTGATTGGAAACACCAAGATTAGTGTGTGTGTGTGCAGCGTGAGCAAGGCACTTTGATAACCCTTTAGCAAGAACACATTTCATTTAAAATTGTGGAAAAGCAAGGAGTTACAAGGACCCTGAGGGAACCATTGCTACCCCATCCTCTTGTACAAGAGGCCCCTGTCTTCAAAAGAAGATTCAGATTCCTGAATTCTAATTAAGAAACAAAAAAGACATTTCCACACATTAGGAATGTGTTCAGGTGCTTTAAATCTCATCTGATGTGGATGAACACCTAGAGCAGAACGAGCATCCCTGCAATTTATTTCGCACATGTCTAACCTGGCTCTTCTCATAGTGACTTAGAGCTTTTCCTCTCCTTGTTGTGAGGACACTCTCCAGAGATGGGCAGGCACCTCAAGAAGACCTTTTGCACTTGTCAGCTACAAGGAGAAAACAGGCCAAGCACGGCTGCTATTCTGTCAGGCAAGAGGCAGGAACTGCGAGAAGCTCCCGCAGTATCCACTGCAGAACCCCCACAAAGGAATGTTCACAGTGACCACCTTACCGTGCCCTTTACGGAAATACAACATTGGGTGGCAAACCTGAGCAAACCTTCCCTGGGGACACAAGAAAGAGCCAACACTCACATGTCCCTGCTCTAGGGGACGTGTTCAGGAGTAATTTACAAGAGCCAAGCCTTCCACGCGTGTCCCACAGCAGTGTTACCAATCGGGATGTGCCTGGAGTAGGATCACCTCTGCACGTGCTCAGGGATATCTTCACAACACATAGATTGTTGCCAACTGCAACTTGATCTTTAAAACTCAGTTTTAAGTACCACCGAACACAATAAGGTAACTAAGACTCAAACCTTTATGACAATTAGCAAACTCTACCCTTTGAATAAAGAGCCTTTTTACCTCTATCTTAACAGTAGCAAGAAATGCTGCCAAATTCCATTAAAGGAGCATCTGCTTTCCAATCAGTAACTGTAGCCTCTAGGTAATTCCTACCAGTCCCTTGTTGTCACAGTCCCTGGCAAAGCACTGCACTACAAAGAATTCAGAGGAAGTTCTTGATGATGGGACCCTAATTGCTGACACCTTTGAGAATGTCACTTGCTGCACCTGCTGCAATGGAAGAGATAAAAATGGGATATTATAATCAATTTGAAACAGTGTGCATTTGACAGAACATTGCTTGAGTAAAAATTGTATTTTGAAAGAAATAAATTCTGTTGTGATTTTGATTATACTAATTATTTACTTTATTGAATTGCTTCCACTTTTAAAATGTGTATGTTTTGTTCTACACTGTCTACTAAGACGAAGAATAAAACCAGATGATCAGTTTTGCCTTTAAAACTCCTGTATCAGTTGCCAACACAATAATTTTACATTTAAATTGCAAACAATACCTGGTGAAATTTTAATCCAAACTAGTAAAATTTTTAAATCGACATCTTAAAACTGTTTCTGGAAGCATTTATCTTCATACTGAATTCTGAAACCTTTTTAGAGAACAGAATCAGTATTTTATACCTGCATTATGCAACCACATTACATTCTGAATGTAGAATTATTCAGAGGGAGCAATATTTCATCAAAGAACCATTAATGAACTGAAAAGAAAACCCTCGTGCTGTTACACTTCTCGCCCATCAGGCAAATACATAGAACAGATCAGAATATTTTGTCCAAAGGCTGGGAAGCGCCCCAGTGACTCCCAAGTGTCTGTGAAGATATTGTACTTCAGGAAGAGATGCTGCTCCAAGCTGGGAGACAGAGTAATATTCCTACTCAAGATATAGACTCCATCGTTGTGGAGAGTGCAAGTCAAGTTAAGGCCGGATTTGGACGAGTTCTCATTGAGGTAGAGCCACTCTTTGGTGGCAATGTTGTAGGACTGCACCGTCAACACGTCCTCACTGGGGCTGGGTCTCTGCCTCGGTCCAAGGTCTAGGATGCAGCCCCCCACCAGGTAGATGGTCTCCTCCACAGACAGCATCTGCTGCTTGCGGACATGCATGTCACACAGCTCCAAGTTGGTCCAGGAATCAGAAGTGGGACAGTACTGCAGGATGCTCATGTTCCTGCCTGAAACAGAGAGGAGACATTCACAAAAAAAATAATTCTGTCAGAAGACACTCGTGGGGGGACATTCTTCTTTCCTACAAGAAAGTGCTCCTTCCCAGCCTTTCCTGCAGATTGCTCACAGACACTTGCAGGGCAAGCCAGGGGAGAAATGGTGATCACTGCCTACTGCAGCTCTTTGCCCTTGACAAGAAACTTTGAATGTTCTGTTCCGTGGCACAGGGGAAAAAAAAGATGCTACTTCTGGCACATTACATGATGTAAATAGTCTGGACCTGCAGATTTTAGCAGAATCTAATCCCTACCTTTCAGCTTATGCTTTTAATTTTGTCTCTGATTGATACGTAAGTATTTTTTTACAAAAAGGGAAATGGAACAATATTCTCATCTCCAGAAGTGGTCACAGATGAATCAAACTATCATGAAAAGAGTACACTTCATTGATGGCTGCCAAGTGATGATTTATCATCCAAGCTTAACTCTGAAACTTTGCATTTCATTCCACAAATCAAAGTTTTATGTAATAAAGTTTATAAAGCTGGTTACATTTCAGCAAGTGGTTTGGATGACCTAAGGGCACCTTATAAAGAGAGAGAAACACACATTGTCAAAATCACTTAAGAACCAGGAATTCTGTACTTTGCCATCAGGCAGAGGCTCAGAAAGAAGCTGAAATCATCTCCATAATTCATAACTCAGTGTGTGCATATGTTTGCAATAGTGTTATTCCACAAAACTGTTACAATGCCATCATAATTCATGGTGCAGTGGAGACCTTGGCTGTGCCCAAGGCTTCACTAAATTATCACAGAATGCACACGACTCAGTAAATTCAGTTCCAGTCTCTGGAGACCTGAGCTCAAATCCAACCTCAAGTGACAAGCAGGAACAGGTTTGCAGACTCTAGACAGGTCTTTTTATTAAATCTGCTCCACGGTACCAGTCTGTCCTGCATGATGACTTCCAGATGAGTTCACAGGGGGAAGAGCAGACAGGGACATACTTGACAAGTTATGTAAGGGCACAGGTATAAACAGACATAAATATTACTGGATTGTCGTGAATGAAGTGCATCAGTGGTATGATCAGGGAGGTGCTGCTCCATCCAGCATTTGCACCCTGATTATTTTCATGGCAGTGCCTGCGAAACTACAGCTCTACATATAGATGACATTTGTCTACAAACAACCTATCATTCTCTGACTCATTAAGGGGAGGAGAAGTCACAATTAAGTTTCTATGACTATCTATAGCAGTAAACTTCCCCTGGAAAATGTGTTATTTGAGAGGAGGTGTATGAAATAGAAGTCCATTGCAACATGGCCCTCACATGCTCAGTCCACAGCCTGAGTCTTTTATATCCACTAAAACAACAAAAAAGCCCCAAAACAAAACCCACAAAAATATGAATACTACAGTGTGTGACATAGAATTTCTATTAGGATCTAGGTTCAGAAGTGAGAGCTGCAAACTCAAGAGAAGGACTTTATTCAAGAAGTGTCATTATAATTTACAGTGAGAAATTCCAGATCTTGCCATCTTTTGGAAAGTGCAGTCTCAGGAGAAAGCTCTACACAAATTTTAAAAATAGGCCACAAAATCTACCAGAACTGAGGTATATACAGAAATACCAAAAATTAATAAAAATAATGTAATACAAAAAAAACATTATTGGCTGCATGTGTTTTATGTAGTGAAGGTAGCAAACCAGCATATAAACCTTGGTGTTTCTCATACCTTTAGGTCTTAACACTTTCTGACATCAGCAGACTTCAGAAGGAAAATCACCAGTGGAACTGTGGCAATTCTTGTGTCTGTCTGCTACCAAGATGTTACAGAAAAACTGATTCTAGACCCTTGTTCAGGAAATTATTTGTAGCAAGCACAGGCGTTTGTTGTCCTGAGTGATCCTGCATTTATATAGAAGCCTAAATGCACTAGTTATCCACTGCCAAAACTTCCTATTTTCCTGCTTGATTTCCATTAAAAAAGGCTTTTAGGAAAAGACTTGGGAAATTACAGAGGTTTGGAGGGCAGCAGCAATCCCCTGGGGTGTGGAAGAAGCCAGAGATAACTCACAACTCTCCTTCAGCTGAACCTACAGGCAGCAAGTACCAAGTCAGGAGCCTGACACAAGGTAGCAATCCTGACTGCACATGCCTTGCTCAGAAGTTTTAAAGGAATGGGATCTGCATCAGCAATGTGCTGATCTTCCTCTTAATGACACCAGGACTAGGCAGCCTGATGAAAGCACAGCACAAGTAGCAGAAAAGGAACTTGCAGATTGCAAAGGGTGTAGGAGAAAAGCCTGTCCTCCCGTAATTGTGTAGCACTCTTAACCAAATCAGAGGTTTTTCACCTCACCTCTTCTTTCTCTCTAGATAAAAATGCCTAACCCTGGTCTCTAGAAACAAGACTTCCCATTAATCTGTTTCAACCCCTTCTTGCTCTCTTGTCTCACAGGATGTTTCCCTTTGGATCTGACTTCTCAGCACAAATGCTTCATGCCAGACATCTCAGACTCCCAATGCTGGACATGAGGGAGCACAGTGGCTCCAGCAGATCCTGCAGTGGGGAGTGACCAGAGGACTGGGACTGTAGCACACACAGCACTGCACAGAACAGCTCTCCATATAGACACAGGCACATTTTCCTCACAGCCACCAGGCTCTGGGTCAGAATGGTCTGGACAAAATGTGTTTGAAGGTTTTCATTATCAGAAGAACCTTAAGGGGTGCACTGTGTCTTTTATAAACTTTAAAATGATTCAGAGCTCAAATCTGCTCACACAGTAGAAGCTTGTTCTAATATCAGTTTAGTTTTGCTTGCAGTACTGTCTGTAAAAGCTGATCTGTCTTCTAATTTCATTCTCTGCTTGGAAAGAAAGCCTTAAAACTGCTGTGGTCAACTGAAGTAGGCAAAGGGCAAATTCAAACTTACGAAATCCTGGCAAATACTGAACATTTGACATGTTTAAAAAATTTATTTCCAAAGCTCTGAGCAAACGTCTTCCTCCCAAAAACTGGCACTATGTACTTAAGGAATGAACAAATGGGAGCTTTTTTAACTGAACTTGTTTGCCTGCTGGATAAAAGTAATTTTCAGAAGAGAATGAAACTTCAAATCCTCCCCTCTGTACAGTGTCCTCAGAAAATCTGGTATAGAAATTAAATAAACTGAAAGTGTTGGTTCTTGCTTCAGCTTTTGATTGTTCTATTCCGTTCTTAAGGTATAACTTGAATTTGCCAGTGAAGCACTGAAATACTGCAGTGAAAAGACCATGACACCTATTAGTACATGAGAAATACTAAGGCAGGCAGATATTTTCTATGAATTTTTCCTTCTGACAGTCTAAATCAGGTACTTTAAAAGTAAACAAAGTATATCTGTTGAGACCTCTGTACTGTGTGATCAAAATCTAAGAAAAGGGGCAGTGGCTGAGCTGGGTGCTGAAGTACCCATCAGCTTCTTCCCTGCAAGTAACAGAGCCCCAGGTCCACACAGGCTCTGAAAAAAAAAAAATACCTGATTCTTTTCTGATAGAGCTATTATTTTTTGTTTATTTCATCAATGATTAGTTCTTTTTGTTTTAATTAGCATTACACAGCCTTCTACGTGAGTTCAAAAACTTTCTTGAAGAACAGGAGAAAATTATCTGGGCCTTCTGACCAATCAGGTAAAAAGCAACAAGAAATAACACCAAACTTGTTACCTCGTGCAGTGTATCCTCCAATAACATAGATCTTGCCCTTGCATTCACAAGCTGAGAATTCTGCAAGAGGGTTTGGCATGGATGCCACAAAATTCCACCAGTCATTCTCTGGATTGTAGCACTCCACATTGGAAAGGGACTGGCCACCAATGGCATACAGCTTTCCACTGACAGCCAGGAGCTTGAAGTTGGACCTGAAAGAACAGATTGCAGCACTGAAATCAGGTGCATCCATGTACAGAAATACAGAGGAAATTCCTACCCAGGCTCCAAAACACTCATCACCACTCACAGCTTGCACCACCACTTGAGATATTGGCTGCATCTGAACTCTTCTGTGCCAGACCAAAATGCTGTAACCACACAGCAATTACTCAGGACAGTAACCAGTGACAGTTCGAATAGTATTGATGATGCTACTGAGACTGAGGAATATTTTATTTTGTATTTCAGTCTGTGCCAGTTCAGCTGTAGATGTTCAGTTAACCAATGTGCTCAGCAGACAGGTCATTTTTATCAGGCTTTTAACAATGTGCCATTGGTAGAGAAAAGTGCATTACATGGACACACAGAAAAAGATATAATTTCAGTTAAAATTGCAGAAATTTCAAACAAGGCTTGATGTATGCCTATGAATGCATACTTGTTTTAGGCTGTATTATGGACTCTCTTTAATAACCTTTATAAAAAAGCAATTTAAAGTGGAACATATTGAATCCCGTTCAGCAAAAGAAAGAAGACAGAAACCTCTGCAGCCTATTCATCATTAAACTACTAAACACATCCTCTGAAGCAAGATCTATCTGTAAATTACGTTCTACCCATAGCTGAACAAAAATTACATTGCACCTCATGAGCAATGCCATCCAAACTGGTCATTTATTTCTTATTCTGTTCCACTATGGTCTTAAAATTCACACACAGCAAAGGGCAACTTCCTGATTCTGAAACTCAACAAGTCTCCTATCTCACACCCTGAAGGTAACACAGACAGCAACAAATGGTCCATGGGTATGAGAGGTGCAGATCTGGAGGAAGAACTTGGGGGATGTGAAGACAGAACTCTTGTATGCTGGTCTTCCTTCCAGCTAGAGAAGCTGGTCTAACAAAGGATGAGCTTTTCCTCTCCCCAGGAACAGTCTCAATGCCTAGAAAGGTTGTTCCTTCACTTCTGCTGAGAACTGAGATTTTACCATAACTATATCAATTAACTGGATGTGTGGCACTCCCTGGAGTGCACTAGCTCAGCACAAAGCCAAACAGGGAACTGCATTTTATCTGTAAAACTGACATAATGTTTCAGACCTGCACTGGCCTGCTGGGAAGCAAAGGGAGTACCACCCTGCAGGAATCCAACATTCAAAACTTACTGCTAAGTATTTTTGCAGGGTATTGTCTGAACAAAATGAACACTGCCTAGCTGTAGACTGCCCTGTAACGTCTTTTATTAAATCTATTAGGAAAAAGGATTTGTTTCCAGATGGAATCACTTTGTTCTTGTCAGCCTGATATAGGTTTGGAAACTAAAATGATCTCTGAAGGAATTCATTGCTTTTTATTTTTTTCCCCCTTGACATTTATGATTAGGTCAGTCTGTTCATATTCCCTCAACAGCAATTATGCTTTCCATTTCAAGAGAATCCAGAATAACATAGCAATCAAAAGCAGGTATGAAATGAGAATAACTACTTGCAAAACATTATGATTTTGAAAGCAATACACCTGCTATAAAAGTTAGGACAGAGAAAAAATTTCCACAAATTAACAAAGGGGCAAAACCACTGGGAAAATTATCTACTGAAACACAAACAGCTTTAAATATTATAACTTGCAGCTTTAAATATTATAAAAGGAAGCCACAAACCTTTGTGTCGGTCATTTAACCACTTCCAAACACTTGCTAAAATGGGTGACATTCAGTGGAGGTATCTCAGATTTATGGAATTCATTAACAATAAAGTTCATTTTACTCAAAAGTAGCTGCAAGTATCCATCAGCACACTTTATATGAAAGTTTGGACAATGGCTCAATATGTTATGAAAAACTTCTGCCATTCACCTTTCCATGTCAGTAACAGCAGCTGTCTTTATGGAGAGTGCATGTTACAAAATATTTACTGCATTTTTAGTCTCTTTTAATGTGTTGGAGCAGCTGGAAACAAGGAAAAGCAAACACTGAGCAGGCAGTCAGCTCTCCACAGCCAACAACTGCTCCATGGACTACAGCCTGCAAACAGCGGGGCCACCACGACGGAACTCCACTTGCACCTGCGACTTGTCTAAACCTGAGGGATCAAGAGGTACTTTCCAAAAACCAGGCCTAGAGGGTCCCTTCTTGCTGGGACAAGCCAAGATATGAGCTGTCTTCTGCTGACCTCACTGACTCTGAACAGGAGCCCAGGAACAGCAGGGAGTGGGAGCTGTGGGGTTTTACCATCGCTCAAAATCCATTCTTCACTCAACAAAGTGCAAAGCACTGCATGCACAAAGGAAGGAAAATATATCACACAAATGCAAAGGAGCTGGAGCAGAGGCTTTCTGCATGCAAGACAACATTCCACAGCTTCCCAAAACCCCCCATGGCTCTGCATTGTGTTAGGTGTATCTGCAGGAGGCCATGGTGGAAGTGGCTGTGAAGAACCTGCACACACAGTTTTTGTTCACTGACAATCTCACTTAGTGTACAACAAAAAAGAGTTAGCCCAGATACTGGGGAAGACTTTCTGATCAGAGGGGTGGCTAAACAAGGGAACAAGAGACCTGGGAGGAAGATTCCAGTGTCAGTTGGAATCTACACTGCTGGCAGATTTCAAGAACAAGTTAAATATGTATTTATTTGCAAGGTAGCCTAGGTCCTGCTGCAGAACACAAGCTTTAGAGTAACCAGCATTGTTTCTTCCTCCCAAATGATGAATTTAACCTTACATTTCTCAAAAGTCAGATGACATCTTTATTCTAGACTTAAAGCACTTGCAACAGACACAAGGAATCGTGAAAGCACAGTTAAGGAGCAATTCCAAAGCGTTTTACATATTTTTGATGAGTTCCTTTTTTCCCTTTTTTTATATTTCTTATGTGAATTTGCAGAGTACACTGCATCAGACATTTAGCTTTAAAAGTGTGTGGTAAGTAAGACCAGTTCTAACTTAAAAAAAATTTTTGAAGTCTATTTTCTTCCACCACAGAAGAATTTTGAATGAATTAAAAAAAAAAAAACAGTAAAAAATGAGGAAGGAGAAGGTCTCCTGAACAAGCAGCATTCCCCAGAAGCATCATCTCCTACATTCCTGTAAGAGTCCTCAGAGTGGCAGCAGTTTATGTACAGATTGCTCACAAAAATCATGTTCCATGTGCATAATTTCAACCTGGGGCTTACATAGGTCTGCCAAGCCTGGAAGATTTACCTGCCATGAGTAGGAAGGTTTTGAAGGAAAATAGAAGTGGAATGTATACAGCTAAAACTGGTACATGCAGTAGAAATCCTATGAGTATATTATTTTTAAATAGCAAATTTCACCAGACAGTGTTCACTAAAAAAAAAAAAGAAAATATTTGGAAAGGCATTCAAGGACATTATTGCAATAGTCCCCTATTCACTTTGTTACCTTCTTGACTCCAAAGACCACAAGTGATCTTGGGCAACACTAACATCAAGCTGCTTCTATTAAAAAAATCAGGTCATTCTCTCTTGGGAATTCCAAGTACAGAAACACCTCTAAAATTAAAAAGTCTAGAAAATTTGGTCTATTGTGGACTATTTGTGATCAGTACTGAATTTAGCACTAAGATGATGAGAAATCCCATGCTCAGTCACAGGCTTCCTTGGTGAGCCCGAGCACATTATTTTAGCTCCCTTGGGTATGCATAAATTTGGAAGAACACCCTCTGAAGCTCCTAGGGGCATCACAAAAACATTATACAGGACTTGCCTACTGTGAAAAAGTTTGAAAGTAAAGTAGTAAGACCTGTATGCCTAAAAAGAAAGCCAACAGTGAAGACCCAAACCAGAATGGCTGCTAAACATTCCGGTGGCTTTTGTCTTCTACTTAGAAGTAAGTTAGGAGTGTTTCATCTAAGCATGAGAAGATTACAATAATGGAAATAATTCATTATAAAAATACCATAGAGCTTGAAAGGTTTGTTTAGGGCAGAAAGCTCTTATATAAAGAGTAGAGCAGCAAAATTACATCCATAACTCCTCAGCCTTCCTTCGAGGCCAACACATGCAGTCACTCATGCAGGACAAATCCAGATCCTCTGCTGTCTGAAGTCAAACCAACTTCAATGGAAACTAGAGCCCTCCCTGAAGGAATGTCAAATTTCATCCAGTGGATGCAATTATATCAGCTGACATAAATTCATTTTCCAGACAGGCACATGGCTATAATTCCTAAGCAGAAGGTTGGGCAACCACCCTGCTTATTTTACTACAGCATAGCAAGCTAAAAATACAATGGCAAGCAAACTGCAGGTCTAATTGCAGCACAGATGTGTGGCAGACTGGTCATGCAGCATGCAAACCCCTCATGTTAAAAATGGTGCTGCTCCTGGCTCCTAGAGCACAGGCCATCCCTCCCTGCCAAAAAGCACCAAGCAGGTCATCATGGAGCCAACATGTTATGCCAGATAGAAAAAGTAATAATTAACTGCATTTTACCATGAAGCTGGTAAAATCAGAAATGTGTTTTGTGAAGGGGTCAGCTGAGTTTCCATGAAAAAAAGTCCCCGCAGTTACTCAGGGAACAACATCCTCACTGCTACTTTGCAGGTGTAATTCTGGGTACTTTTTGGCCTGCAATAACTACCATGGAATTTAAGACTAAAGATTATTCTAAAAAATATCCATTTGCCTGCTGCCTTTCTGCAGTAAATGGCCAATGTGAAATTCTAGAGAACACCTTGCTGTCACCTGTGATGGGTTTGAAGATGAAGTTGATGTGACAGTACCACTGAAAACAGTATTAGGAGAAAATATCCATGTGTTTATTTCAAGTATAATGATTATACCACCTAGCAAAAACAAAAAAAAGGGCAAGTGTGGAGGAAAAAAGGCTGATCTAGAGTTTGAATACACAAACTGTAAGGTGCAATAAGGGCCTCAAAAATGTAGTTTTTAGAACCCACATTTCAGAGTCAACATACATAGTAACAGCTCTCTTGCTATAGACATTACAGAAACAGAACCTCATGACTTGATCAATGTGGCACTTCTGTTAATGAAGTTAATTCCCATAGGAGACATTGTGTGGGCTGACCCCATCCTGCTTTCCTATTGAGGCCAAGTGCTCCCAACCCCATTCACACAAGTCCTGCTGTCGAATGAAGCTATCTAAAACATCTCTGTTCCCCAGGCACCTCAGGGAATTCTGCTGAGCCTCTAAGAAAGGTCTGTAAGAAAAGGTGTTTGTAATGCTTAAATCCAAGCATTAGTTTTACAGATAAAACTTTTCCCACTGTCTTTCCAAGCAGTCAGAAACACTAAGAAAAATGGTTTCTGATCGGTTGTGATGACTGATTAAGGAGGTGATTATTTTAGTAGAATTCTCACAATACAAGTGTGTGAGGAAAAAAAAGGTGAAATGAGAAAGACTTAATTTTAGGTCTAATCCCTCTATTGAGGGGGTTTAGGTGGCAAAAGCTAAATAGAGCCTGGAATAGAAACTGCAGTTTAACTATTCAGATACAAAGCATTTATGCCAATGGCTTGGGTCTCTGTGCATGCTCACTCAATTCACTAGACAGAGAAGAGGATTTCCGTTCTACAGTGAATTTTGGCCTCCTTACTTTTTCTTTTTCAGAGAGAAAAGATAAAATTTTAAAATACTTTTACTAAAATGGAAAGAAAGAGGAAGTTCATGTTGGAAACAAAGCCAGTTTGTTTCAGTGAAATTAAAGCCTCTGTTTTTTATCACTCCAAAGTGTGGTTAAGGTAGAGGAGCCACAGCCTTGGCTAGGGAAAAGGCCTCTGCTCTTGGGCCCTCCTCAAGGCTAGGTCTCTATTACTCTTTCAAGTATAAATTATGCAAGTGTTTCTAAATGCAAACTAAAACATCAATGCGTAATAAACGGTTCAAAAGGATAAAGGTAAAAAA